TTCTACAAGACTTTGATGCTTGGTAAATGTATTTTCTGCACTCCTGTGTCTAGCAGAGACTATGTATTTTCCTGTTGTGACCATTGCATAGGATAATATAGGCATAGTTTTAATGTGGTACAATACAGTAGAGTTGGGCTTATGTGGCAAAAAAAAACTTGAAAGAATAAAATCCAGCACCGCAGGAAATGAAATACCTGACTACAAGTATTACCAGCTAAAGAAGGATCACAGCAACTTTTCTTGGTGCTGTCTTTGATAGAATTAACCTTGAATATAAGTGTGGACTCTGGTGCACTACCAATGGACTCTACCAAACAGCTTCCCCATTTATTTGGGTATATTTGATTGCACCCTATCTGGAATACATAGACTCTGACTTTCAGGCCAAGAGATGGCATATTCGATTCTGCATATCCAGCTCCTTGTTATATGAGATATCCATACGCTTTCATTGGTGAAACCTCTTTTGGTGTCATTCCAAGAGTGCTACTCGATAGAGAACTCTGGAATGCACTCAGAACTTGTAATATGAGCAGGCTCCAGTGCCTTGTACTTATTGATTTACAAGCACTAGCACAAACTCTATGGAACAGAAAATACAAATACTTGTAAATACAGCCTCTCCATTTGTAACTTGTAGCTTGTAAATCTTCTGTGGAATAGGCCCCAGGGGTATAAATGTTCTTTATCCTGGTAACTAAGTTACTGTAGAGGGTAAGGACCAATTGAAGGGCTGAAAGGAAAGTGGTCTATCCACAAAAATTCTTTACTTGAGTTCCACAAGGAGGAAGTGAATATTTCCATAGATCGTCTTCTTAAAATTGAGGGGAAAAGGTACACACGGATAGAATCCTTTTTATACATAATTCCCAAGAACTACCTTTTTGATGCAAGGAACTATGTTCTATTAGAACTAAACCAGCTATACTATTATCTGACATTTTTGCAGATATACCTCTTTTCCTTTCAGCCCTTCAATTGATCACTATGTTCTCCAGTAACTTAATTACCAGGTTATACAGTACAACTTTTCTACCTCTGGGTGTGTAATAAGATTTTTGGCATTCCTTCACAAAAATCCTTATTTCTCCATGATGTTCTGCAGTTCTTTAGTTTTAATCATTTATTTGACACTGGAAACTGAAATCTTGGATTTATACTATTCTCTATTTACCAAAGGGCATGAAAATCTGGATTGAAAATTTTGAGGGTTAAGCAACAAATTTTCTTGTTTCTGGATGATGAAAATGCCATGACACTTGAAGTTGAAGACTAGAAGAAAATTGAAATTCCACATATTTGCTGTGAACATATCCATTTATTTATTTCACCATTCACTTCTACAGCATTTTATTTTTTTGGAGGGAAGGGGGGGAGGAAGAATTGAACTTGACTACCAGCAGCCTACTATATCAACACAATGTAGGCATAAAACATTTCACAAGTCATTCCAGTTCACCATGGTCTTTTGGGACTCTGCATTGCATGTGTGAGAATCCAAAACTTCTTTTCCTTTTTTTTCATGGCCATTTGTTTGTGCCGAGGCTGCTTCTCACAGAAAACATATAATCTTCGATCTATCACTTCAAAGTAGCAATGTCGACACCTTCTTTGTGGCTTTCCAACCACCTTGAAGTTCCTTCGAGGAATTAAGCCACAAAGTCCACTCTCTTGAGGGTGCAATAAGGAAGAAGCTAAGGGAGATAACTCTTTAGATTTGCTGCAAGAGATCACGACTGGAAGTGATACAAAACTTGATGAATGATTTGGGATGGAAACAAATGACTTTGAGGTAAGGTTTGCCCAGCCAAAACTGACCAAGCTGGAAGATGGTAACCTCAAGATTGGTGGAAGGTTCACATGGGGCATTATTTCAAATCCATTTCTCACCAAGCCACAAAGTGTTTTCAACATTTTCACCTGGAGCAGAGTGTCTTCTTATCAGGTGTACAATAAACCCCAATTAGGTGGCTCTACCCATAGACTTTGGCATGTCAGGTAAATCTTTTCCACCTGTAATGGATAAGACTCATTACTGTTACTGATTCAGCTAAGTCAACTTGACAGCTATTTCTACATCTAATTCAAAAGATGCACTACCATAGGGATAAGTTTATCTACATGATAGGCTTAGGTAGCTAAATTTAGATACATTTCAGCATATATTCAGATAACTCTGTCACTAATGCACTCAACATATAGCTATTCCAATACAATCATGTCAGGTAAAAAGGCATTAAATACAAATGTGTGTAAAACCAGGGAAATTTATCATATGTTTCTAAATATTTTGTTGATCAGGGATGCAATGATATAAGGGTCACTCCCCAATTACAACTGGTACTGCTGAAAATGGGCATACCTACCACTGGCATGCATGATTGCCACCACCTCATTGTCATCTTTCCTAAAAGTGTCAAGTTGCAGTAATGAGTGCATTATCTCAAGCAGAAAAATGTTTATTTTCTCAATTGTTCTTTCTACTCAATATATTGGTTAGTTTACATTGCTCTGCATTTGAGTCAAACATTTTTTCATTTGACTTTGACACTTGTGCATGAGAAACATCCCATCCAAGTCAAGTGAAGATCAGTGTATCTACTATCAACTAATAATATAGGTGAAGAATGAAGATGGCTTTCTCTGTAATATTGACCCAAAGAATTACAAACACCAATTAAGCAACTAGACATGATAATCACATTGACCTTCATTCAAGAAATATGTCAAATCATTTCCGGTCATGGTCTTTAAATTATTGGGTAACATGCGTCAGATCCCATTTAACTTTAAACTGATTTGGTTTAATAATGCTCATGCTAGAGAAAAAGATTATCCCCATCAAACCGATTCCCATAGGGCATCATATGAGATCAGATTAGTCTATGTTAAATAGATCTGGAGCATGTCACTCATTAACTTCATGTATGTGATTTCAAGAAAAAGTAACTAATCTACTAAGTAACCAAGTAGTAAGTAAACAAATGCAATTATCTTCATGACTGTGCAACACGAGACAGAAACAGGATAAATATACTAAATCAGGAAAACTGGTGAACTCAATATTACTGAGGAATGAGGGGGGATAAGTGCAGAAGGCTAAAGAAATTCCTTCCTAAAATTGTCTTTGGTGATTTAGGTAAAACCCATAAATGACTGGACTGTCATGACCCACCAACTTTTGCAGATGTTTGGAAGCATGGATAACTTAATCAGGTATTGCATTGCAATGGATAGGGAGATTGAGGGAAAGAACCTTTATAAAAATTCACTGGTGCTGAAGTGGTAATGGGACTGCATAAACCTGGGCAGATGTCAGCCTCTCCCTGCACAAGGTCACAGTTTCTACTGTATCTCAGATTTAGTAAGATTCTGCATCAAGCATGACATCCTTGTTTTAGGCTATTCCTGTTCATTATCTGCCTCCCCACTTCTCAGTGTTTCTCATAAATGATACTTGTCCTTTACTTTTCCAATGCATCATTGTACCTGGCCAACATAGGTCATGTTGATGCATCAATATTTTAAATTGTTTGAGCAATCTGTGCAACATATATGGGAGGGATCTTATATTAATTTGCAAAAATTCTCAGCTTAAAAGAAAAACAAAAGTAAACCAGCAGGGTCAACGCTTGTGTATTGTTCTTTCTACTTCACCCTGTCACCTTTCATTTTCAATATCATTGAAACATTTTAGGCAATGTGAAAAGTACTTAAAAAAAAAAGCAATCTTCACAGATACACAAGTGAAGTGATGTACAGCAGTTGAACCTCATCAGAAAGGAATAATCCCCATAACAGACAGTCTACAGTGCGTGTAAAAGCATGTTTCCTCACAATATTGAAACGTCTAAGCAGACCTCTAATGCATGGTGTCTCTAGATGTGTGGCCAAGGATAAATTACTTGCTTGTTGAAATGAATCCCTTATTTAAAAAATATTTATTAAAACAATATTTTAAATAATATGCTAATATAAAAAGAAAGAACATTCATTGCTTGCTTAATTTTCAGCTTGATGTATACTGTCAGAACAAAGAATAGAGTAGTGAGAATGTGATTTCATCTCCCTTCCCATGGAAAATGGCAAAGGATAGAGAGTTTCTTTAAATAAATAAAAAATCATCCATCATTTCAATTGAGGGAAAGTGTCAGGGCTTGATTTTAACATTCATTGTCTATAGCTCAAAATGGTATCAAAATTTGCAAAAAGATTTTGTGTGTGTCTATATATACAATGTGTGATGAGTAAAAATCATGGTTAGCTTGATTGCTAACTTATTTCCCCAATCCCACTTGATGCTGTATGATATTTTTGATACTTTGATCATATCAAAGTTTAAAGTGAAACAGGTCAAGGTCATGCCACTCTTAAATCTTTAAATTTCTCAACAATGCAGGCAATCAGAAAATTCTTGTCCATGTCCGTCATCAACATGTCATGCTCCATCATTCTCCTAACTTCACAATTCTAATGAAGTAACAGTCCATCATGGTCAGCCTCATTAGCATAGCATGGATGGAAACTTTTTTTTTTTTTGGGGGGGGGAGGGGAACCTGGGGACATGGTAATTCAAGGACACTGTTCTCAAGCATTTCATGCATCTTTTCCTGCTTACTTTTGCTTTTTTTTTATGCACTGGTCAGCCCCATTCACTGATGGTAGTGAATGGGTCAGCTCCATTCACCACAGTAAATTACGGTGAAAAGCACAGAAAATCATTGGAGGGCACCGGTGAGAGAAGGAATCCATCATTGAAGCGAAACACGGATAGCCGATTCCATTGGAAAAGCACCTTCGCGGAATACCCACCAGTCATGGTCCTTAACCCCTGTCTCATTCATAAATTACTATAACCTGAAGAATGACATTAGAAGTGTCTCACTTCCATAAAATATTTAACTAAAGTTTATCCGTGATGTCGGATACTTATGGTATGCAAAAATTGTTGGTCTCGTCAATACAGCTAACCCTGCTCGCTTGTTCCCATCCGTGTGGACAATATGGCGTCGACCTATGGACCATAGGAAGTAGTAGCAGGCCTAACCTAATGTGAAGCATCAGAAAACTTGGAATATGGCTTTGGACAAGAACTCTCCTGCTTCATCAGAGCGCGAAATCTGAAGTTCCTCAAAACCTCTCGCCAAAATATTGGGCCAGATGTGTTCCCCCATGGAGGACGTAACTAGAGAGAAGATACACAACCTGCTGGGACATTTCAGCAAGAACCTCTATCGAGCAAAAGATTCCAGCCAAATCGTAAGGAAGTATGAACTTTGCTCTAGACCTAGATCGCAAGTTAAACTTATGCAAGAATTAATTAATTTGCTGGCCACCAGCAACAAGGAAGTCAGACAGAAGCACTCCAATTAGGGTCGCCACCTTTGAATTTAACAAAATATTGACAAATATTCGAAATATACCCACAGCCACCTTAAGCCAAGGCGCCAATCGATACTATTAGGGAGGCCTACTGCTTTTGACTTATGGAAACTGACAATATTAGCTGCTATCAAGCTTTATTAAGTAAAAAAAATTGCAACAAGTTTTAAATATGGACAAAACTCTGTTTATATTAGGAACAGTTTGCAGGATGGACATAGCATCTGAAATATGTACTGTCCATACTAATTATGAACGAGTGTCAACTCTACCTCCTATAACTTAACAGAGGTGTATAAAAAAAGGTGTGGTAAGTAGTGACACAGAATATCATATGCACATTATAAGAGGCCATGTTTCATAGGCAATTTGATCTTGAGTGGACAAATCATATACATGCCTAAAATGGCCCCTTTCAGACCAACAGTTTCAAATTCCTGAGTAATTCATTATCAATAGCTAGGTACAGTCATGAGTCTTGAAGGGCAACTGCTGTTGCTGATGTGTTGATAGGCTAAGACCCATTGCATGGTCTGAAAATGAGGATGCAAGCTCTCAAATTCGCTGAAACTATAGCAATGGAAGCATTAAAAGAAAGGACAATAAGAACAGTTCTTGGTGTCAATGCAATTCAGTCTCTTGAGAATACAACTCCTTCCTCATCTCTATCATGATCTGATCAGTCCACATTCCCTTATCTCATCAGTGACCTTGCCAGAGAGCCTGAATTATTTACCACTGTATCTGGATGGTTGTGTTAATTCTATGTTGCATATTGGCTCACCACAACACAAAGTACATGAAGAAAAGCCAACATAGCCACAAATGCAGCCATAATTGAGATTGTCTTGTTTTTTAAATATAGTATGAGGATGAAATTCTAAATGTCATTTGTTTTTTCATTTATCAAAACCTGATATTGAATCCTATCAAGCCCAAATAATTTATGTGAGGAATTAAAGAACCCAAAAGTGCAATAATTAATCAATTATGAGTAGTGGCGTAGTCAGGTTTTCATCAATGGGGGGGGCTAAGCAGAATGTTGGGGGGGTAACTTCACCTCGTCAGGGTGGGGCAGACACATTTCAACCAGAGTTGGGGGGGCTGAAGCCCCCCCTCGCTATGCCACTGATTATGAGATCACCTCTGATGCACTGAAAATATCTGATAGTCTTAGGCTTAGAAATAAATAATAAATTTCTTCAGAATATTGAAAGGTAAATGCATTGCAGTAACTTTTCATGATATAAAATTATGAATTTAAAGTTACAACATACACATGCACATGCAACTTCCCTATTTGCAGAGATAGACTTGATAGATTGCCTTCTGCCTTTTCTGTTTTTACATTTTTTAAGGGAACAATGTTGGGTTTTGAGGGCTGGAAACTGTTTGGTGTGCAAATCTGTGCTTAGCTGATGATCTAAGAGAATTACATGGAAATAATTATGAATGGGTGATTAGTCAGGATATTATCATGAATGGCAGGCTGAAGAAATCATTGGATAATAAAGAATCAAAGTGAAAGATCAAGTAGGCCTAAGTGACCGAGCAATTCCAGAAGATTCAAGCTTAGTGAAAGTAGTTTCTCTTATAAAAAGTTTTAGACAGAAAGACAAAGCTTATAGGTGAAAACATTATGCACATTTTCTAGGTGCAGTCTTCTTCCCTTTCTAACTTCTAATTAAGCAAGAGAACTCATCATCAGTTCATTTCATAACTGCTTTCCAACCCTTTTCATTGGTGTGTTTAGATTTTAGCTAAGTGCAGAATTTTAGACTGAGTGAGATCATATTGATAACCTTCAAAATACTTATTGCAGCCCTTTTAGATGATGAAAAGAATATACTTGATGTTCTCATTGGTACCAATAACCCTATAAAGTTTAATTCATATTGTTGATGTAACCTTTTTTATGCTACATTGATTTAACATGGAATGACCCTTTTAAGCTATGATTGAAGCAAATTTGCATTACTCTAGAAGCCTTTGGTTAATGTTTTGGTTGTTGTGGTATTTTTTCCAGGCCCAAGAAGCACTGCAGCTGTCATTAAGCCTCATGAATCGTGATTATTCTTGCATGGTGAGCATCTTTGAAGTTGGTAGGGCCTATCCTCAGTTTAAATTTACCTGGAGGCATTAAATATTTACTAATAGGCTTGCATGTGCCTGCTGTCAGAGGTATGACTTTGACTTCCTGTAAATCAGATTATTTTGCTTTTCTGCTTTATAGGTAGTGGGAAATGCAAGTGGAGAATTATCTGCTCACTATCCAAGTCAGCTCATTGTGATCGAATATGAGAAGGCTAATTCCCAAAAGTCCATGTGGGGAGAGTCCATCAGTTCTGAGACAATTTATGAAAGCATACTGGACCCAACCCGAGTGAAAGACCTAATTTCCAAAGCAAGATTTGCACGTTGTCGAGCTAGATTCCCTGTTCCTGTGATATTCTTCCAAGGAAGGCACATCTGCAGGTAGGAACTGTTTTCCTTGGGCATAGCTCCAAAACTCCATGACCAGTAATGCTCAAAGAATTGACTTTTTTTTAATTATAAACTGAAGAGGCATTTTATTCATTTTTTTATTTGAGTTCAATGCCTTCTCAAGTTCATTCAGTCTCTAATGCATGGGAAGAGCATAGTATGTTTGAGTGTTGGAGTCATCTGAAAAAGTTTCAAACTCTAATGAACAAGACTTCATGGTACTTTAGGTAGTCACTGTTTCATTCTTTTTACAGATCAGCAACCCTCTCAGGTGGTCCAGAAATCTATGGAAGATCAGGACTCAACTTCTTCTTTGGGAAAGGTTCTGAAGAGGCTACTGATCTTGAGACCTGTGATGAAATTCCTGTTCCACAGACACAGACAGAGTGGCAGTTATTTGACAAAGTGCGCAGCCATGACATCAGACTGCTGAAAACTCTCTCTGTAGGAACAATTGTTGACTTGATGCTTGAGAAGAAAAAAGTGAAGTTTGGGCTATAGTAAGTGTTTACATTTTTGCCCTATTTCCTCTTTATCATCTTTTATGCTATGGAAATGTTTTTGTTTTCTTTTGACTGGAATTTGTATGGAGTAGCTTATCTGTTTTAAATTTGATTTATTTTTACAGTGTGACATCATCAGAAAAAGTTGATCGAGAAAATCGATACAATGATTTTGTCATCATCTCCCTCCCTTATCCTGGTTGTGAGTTCTTCAGTGAATTTCGGGACAATGGTTACAATGCAGAGTCGCTGAAGTTTGACTGGAATCAGAATACAGTGGATGTTCAGCTTTCCCTGCCTCAAGATTCAGTTGCTGCATCACTGGACATCAAGTGGTCTCAGTACAAGGTTGTATAGAATGATGTTGTCTATGGTTGCTTGGAGTCTTAATCAGGGCTATTTAATATTGACAGTTTGCTGTTTTTTTCTAATTTTTTTTCAGACATGGGATCTTGTTCAGTTGACTCAAAGCTACCTCCGTCTGATATTGCGACAATTGCAAGAGGGACAGACAGGGATTTTGTTGCATTGTATTAGTGGTTGGGACCGTACACCTCTTTTCATCTCACTGATTCGTCTTTCACTCTGGGCAGATGGCCATATCCATAAGAGTCTGTCTCCTCTGGAAATACTCTATCTCACTCTTGCTTATGATTGGTTTCTCTTCGGGCATGACATGGCAGATAGATTGAGCCGTGGGGAAGAGGTTCTCTTTTTTACATTCTATTTCCTCAAGTTTATCACAGGAGAAGACTTTGTAGTCACCACCAGGTATGGTTATATTGAGTGAGTATATTTCTTACAAAAGTTATCACTATATTTGAAAATATGATTGGATTGACTTGCAGGCAAAGGACCCCTCGCTTGGGATATCTCCGCAATGATTCAGATGTCCTCCTAGATGGAGGTGTTTTATTGGATGGAGACTTGAAGGGTTCCAACACATCATTGAATTCATCCTCAAGCTCTCTGAGCACCAGGAGTCAAGAAAATCCTCCTCTCTTCTTCAGTGCTTCTGAAGAAGATCCTCCATGTGGATCGTATGTCTTCCTTTGTCCCTATTGTCTATAATTTGTGTGTGCTGTATTTCTTTCCTCTACCTATTTTAGAGGGTACAACCCACAACATACATGGCCACAGACCATTGCGGTAGGGAATGGGGTTGCCTGTGTTGCATCAGCTGCGTCATCAGGCCTCCAATGTTCCTCGTGTCCAAAAGGATCAAGGGCTTGCGCAACAAGTCCTGTTACTGTCCCAGTTCCTCGGCAAAGGGTTTCTGAATGCTCTTCTTCCACTAGCGTGGAAAGGTCAGTATCAGCACTAGGGTCATGAAAAAGTCTCTGGTTAGATGCGACATGTGATTCCTTCGCTGCCACCACACCCCATCCCACTAGGTGCTGGTGAACCAAAAATCTCAAAGCTTATGCAATAGCTACGGTGGAAAACAAATTATATTATTTTTTTATTCTCTGGCATGACTCCTTTCATGCTTAAAAATAATGCATGAAGAAGCTAAATAACTTCATAATTCAAATTCAAATTCAAATTGTAAATCAACATCCTAACTGTATGCATTTTATTTTAGACTCCTCTTGAAGGAATTATGAAGGGCCCTAAAACTTCCAATCAGATTTTCTTATAGTTTGCTCTTGGGATTGTACAGTATGCATTACAGTAAAGATGTTACCACTGTAACAAGAAGCAGTAACTTATTCCTATTTCCCCCAAATGTAAAATATGGCAGTAAATAACAAATTCCAAATTCTGAATTTAAATGTTTCTGGTATAACTAGCCTGTAATAATAATTTGCAGTCAAACAGATAAATATGGTAAAATTAAAATAAAAGATATTCTTGTCATTCATTTTGATTGTTTTGGTGAACCTGATGTGACCACTAAGCACCCAGCATCCCACCTGGCCCTTTGCCCAACTCTCCCCCTTGCCTTTATGCCCAGTACCTCCCCTATCACATGACATGCTATATCAATTTGAGAGACAAATGGAAGTGGGGTGGATGTGAAAGGGGCTCTGCCATACCTTAACTCAGCCTTTTAGCCCTCTGTTCCTGTGTTACAGATATAAAATGATGTTCCCACTTAAGCATCACTGTAGATTAACTGGAGGGTGGTAATGTTGAATATAGCAGCTCTACAAAGTGGGCCAAAAAAAAAAAAATAAAGCTAGCAATTTTGGCGAGTTGTCAATCTGATTGTAGGATGCTGATTCTGGTGAAATTTGGTAGGCACATAGAGTGACTCAATTAGGGTTTGTGTGCTGAGTTTCAAATAAAAATTCGAAAAACAATGAGATTGGCATTTAATTTGTTGAAAATTTACCACATAACCAAAAAAGTAAGTGTTCATTTGTTCTTTCTCACAGTTGAAAAAACAAACAAGCAAACTAGCAGAGCACAAACAAAATGCACAATTGCCTAAAATGAAAGCACACAATTTTGTTTAGGTAGGTTCAGTTTCTACTGAAAAGGTGCTTAACCCCTTTCCTATGGATGACATATATATGCGTTGTGGGACTTAGCACCTGGCTGAGGCTGGAATAATACCATTGGGATGCTGGGATGGCTCAGTCAATCCCGTGGTCAAGGGGTTAATGTGCCCTCCATTCTTTTGAACACAAGACTCTTGTCTGGGACGGTAATGACTATCTATAAATCTTTGAAGCAGTGTTTCCCAATTTTCCTCTTTAGCATCATGCAGGGATGGAAGGTCATGAATTTGGTCCTCCTGGCCTCAAGTTCATATGATATTTTCAACAGCACATTTGTTGCGTGCCATCAGAAAATTATAGCTCCTATCACTTTAGTCTGAAGACTGATATTCAGCATAAAAGCTCCAATCGTGTCACCCTATGAGCCTACCAAATTTCATCTGATTCAGCAGCCTACAATGAGATTGACAACTCACCTAAAGTGACAGCTTTGTTTTTTCTTGGCCCATCCTATAGTTTCCTCGGTCTCCTGGATTGTTTTTTTTTAAGTATCAAATTAACTAGCTATAGTACCAAATAGTGACAGTGAAGAAGAGTATGTCATGATGGTTATACTTGTTGCCATGGAGGAGCACCATCAAGACATAGTTGAGTGAACTAGATGAAACTTGGTTCACAAGCTTATGATCATATGCCATTAAGTCAATTAAGAATTTCTTGGGCATGAGATGAATATTCACAGAGAAAACTTGCCACACTAATTTACACCCATAGGCTGCCTATTATTTTTCCCCAAGTCTGCCAAAATTTCTATTGTTTGCAGCTCTGCAAATAGAGTATTTTTAGGTATTTTTATGGGTAGTCAATAGATGGCAATGGAGCTCCCCTTTCCCTTCCCCCCCCCCCCCCCCAAAAAAAAAAAAAAGTTTCCATCCATGCTATGCTAATGAGGCTGACCATGATGTGGGCCCCCCTTCCCCCCCCCCCCCCCCCCCCAAAAAAAAAAAAAAAAAAGAAAAAGAGAAGTCATTTACTATTTGTGCAAACTGCTGGTTTCGCACCAAATGGACTGAAACAAAATATGAAAGCATGTCAAAGTTCTGTCATGATGTGGTATATTTTGAACCATGGCAGAGCACATAGTCTTGCACTGCAGTCTTTGCACCAGACTCTTGTTTCTCAACAAACTTTTTTTCTGTTAATTGTCCTTGAGCAGCACACTGCCTGGTTGATTTCTGCTTCTTCTGTGTTAGAGGAATATGAATAAGGTCAGGGAAGTGCCTTCCTCTGAGTCAAGTAGGAGCTGGCTCGATAAAGGGCTTTTCAGCCTTTGTTGACTTTGACATATCATGGCAGACTGCCATCAGTTGCTCAGTCACAACTGGAAAACAAGCTGATCACAAGGTCTACTATTTCTCTTTAACAGAATGAAACTGTTGAACACTGCCTGATCCAGAAGATGCCTGAAAGTCCTATAATATTTTTTTAGTCTTTTTCCCATTGCTGGATAGCATCTGGTCAACTTTATCAACTTCACCCATGCTGTTTTGGTAGGATTGGACTACAGCAGGCTTCACTCACTTGTCACCACATTTGTTTTTATCTTCCAATAAATGAAAGATTGTGCACAGGATGAATGAGACAGACATCCCTCTTATCTTTCCACTTGAGGGTCATTATTTTGCCCCTCTGGAATGCTATCATCGCACCTTTTGTTAGCTTTTTTTGCTGAAATCCAGTGGCATGTTCTTCCACTTTGAATGAACAGTGCTATACACATTGGTCTTTTGTTCCATAAATCTGTCAACAACATTGGGTGACATGTACCAGTTGTCCATTGTGACACAGTAGCCCTGTTGCAGAAGTGGCTGCATCAGTTTGAGAACAACATAATTAGCAATTGCTTCCCTACCCATAGCACACATTGCCTGAACTTACTTCACAAAGCATAAAAATTTTCATTCCAAATTGGATAATTTCAGTGGAATATAATGCATTCATTCTAATCTGTCCTCAAATAGCAGCAGGTGTTTATCAATACAAACATTCTGTTCAAATATGTAAACATATTTGAAAACTTGTCCTTTTCATGACTTGGAGGACATAGAATATCTGATTGGAAGGAAAGTTCTCGGAATTTCATGAACAATTATTACAACCCAGTTTATTTAGAAGCAAAATCATCTCAATNTGGGCCAAACACGGTATTGATGTCAGCGAAGGAATTGGCTGCCTTCTTCTTGATTCGGAAGTCATAAAGAAGAAGCAGGCGAACTTGCTCCTTAGTAAGAGGGTAGGGCTGGTTCATGGCTGGAGAGCACCAGGGCTGTAATAATATACGGTTGTATGTTGAAGGACACGACCTACTTATAAACACACACAGAACATTCTAGTATGCTCTGGAAAAAAAATTGTACTGGATATTCAAAAAATTCCGAGAACTTTCTTTCCAATCAGATATTTGAATGGAAGCCCTGCACAGCAGGGTGAAAGGAACTGTAGAATATGAATACTTTCTGCCTGATCAAGCTGTGGGGACATTTATCAAACCTCTCCCTCATCCTCCCCTCTTGATCTAGCCATAGGCAATATATTCTTTAGGCCTACCATTGTGATGAGAGTTGCTGTAATTATATCAAACTTTCAGTTTTTTTTCATTCTCCCAGCCCATCTTTTTACTTCTGCTGGCACTTGATCAACGCATCCCTCATTCAGTTCCTTCCATTCTAAGGGTTAATGGTCACATCCCAGAAATCTGTTGTTTCAAATATGAGTCATTCTGTGTCAAATCAACACACTTGGAGGACATTTTTCAGGTGACCCACCTCAGATTTGAATGATGTTAGGTATACCTATCAACAATGGTGAGAAACTAATTCACACAAAATATTGGGTTCATTAGACCCTTGGTTCCTTTGGTATGAGGTCACAAAATTTGAGGCTGAAATGCCTTATTCCGTACCCTGATATAGTCTTCTCCTTGAAACTCCGGTCCTAATTGTGCTAGAGAGCTCATCTTAGGCTCATTTTTTAGTTCTTTTCCAGTCCTTTCCATTGGTACTGATACATTTTGAGAAATGCTAAAAGTTACCATTCAGTAAGGTCTCCATATTGATGACCTTTGACCTCACATTGTCAAAAACAACCCTCTTGAATTTTGATGAGAATTGGATGAAAGGTAGACAAGACATATGACTACCTCTGTATCAAATTTTAACTTGGGCGCTTGGTAATTTATGGAAACATCAGGCCATTTGCGTAAAATTGATTAATGTGAATATTCAACATTATTATGGGCACCTATGGGAATGCATTTAACAGTGTTATTTCAATTGAATCCAAAGTAAAAAATAATTACTTTAAACTTTATTTTATTTCATGCATGAAAGCATGCTAAGCTAAGCATGCTGCATGTGCATGCTTAGCTCCAAAAAGACTTTGATGACAGAATGATGGACTCCATCACCTCCAAACAATAGGTGTCAACAGATAGATCTTCTCTGGACACAGAGGTGCAAAAGTGTTGAGAAGATTCTGGATTACATCCTTGAAAAGACTAAACTTAAAAAGACTTTCTTGAGAAAACATGATTTCATTGCCCAGCAGCAATCTTCATTTATTCAGGAGACAAAGGAAAACCTTGCTGAGGGAGAAGTCATTGTTACTCTAGATTTTGCAGAGAACTACTCCTTTGTTCTTCAAGATGCTGCACAAGGATTCCATTGGAATAATAATCAGTCTACAATTCATCCTTCTGCTTGCTATTTTAAGATGCCTCACAAAGATGTGAATGATGGAAATGAACTGCAACACTTGAGCTTTATCATCATATCCAATACTCTTATACATGATACAGTTGTAGTTTATACCTTCCAGGAGCATCTCATTTCACTGTTGCATGAAGAGGAGGCAACAGTTGTCCCTATCAAGAAGATTACCAGATGGTGCAGCTAGCCAGTATGAAAATAAAAAAGAATTTCTGCAACCTCTGCTTTCATGAGGCTGATTTTGGAATCAGCAGAGTGGCACTTTTTTGCCACATCACATGGCATAGGCCATGTGATGGTGTGGGTGGCACAGTCAAACGATTAGCTGCAAGAGTGAGCCTCTGAAGACCATATGATCTACAAATTCAGACTACTCAAGATCTCTTTTTATGGGCCATAGATAATCTGAGAACTACAAGATTTCAGTTTGTCCTTGAGACAGAGATCTAAAGAAACACAGAAGCTCCAAAGATGGTTTGCAGGCATACAGCCAATCCCTGGGACACAAAAATCTTCAGTGTTATATTCCTCTATCATCAGAGAGAAACAATTTTCAAAGTCAAGCACATTTGCAGATGTCAAGTTCAACACTCCAATGGAGATGTCATATTTAAACATGAGAGGGTTTGTGACATGTGAATATGGAGGACATTGGTATCTTGCATATGTTCTTGAGAAATTTGAAGACAATGAGGAAATTCTTGTTTCTTTCCTTCATCCACATGGTCCAGCCCCTTCATTTTTCTAAACTCACAAATCTGATGAACTAAGAGTACATCATAGTCAAGTCCTTTCACTCGTGAATCCCTCAACAGAAACAGGACATACCTACAAACTGTCCAATGATGAGATGGTGGGTGCATCAATATGTCTTCACAAGAACAAGAAATAGAGAATATACCACCATGAAGATCTTTTGACTTGATTTTGCGATTATATATTTTCTTTTGATTGTTTTCCAGTTCTCTGTAGTGCATTCAACTGAAAGGCATTAATTAGTGCAAGAATATTAATGTAGCAATCATTACTTTTTCTTTTTATTCTAGAACTTCTGGAGAGCCCAAAGTAAAATTTAACACAGAGGTAGCCACATGTCTTGCCTGCAAACCAGCCAATTTTTTTCAAAATCTAAATTGGTTGTTTTTTGTAATGTGAGGTCAAAGGTCATTACCATGACCTCTTCACTAAAAATTAGCATTTAGCCAAAAACTAGTCATCTCTGGAAAGGACATGAAAAGAGCTTTCAAACAATCCCAAGATGAGGTCTCTAGCACAATTAGAGCAGAAGTTATGAAGAGAAGACTGTCTTAGGGTGCGACTGAAGGCATTTAAGCCCAAATATTCATGGCCTCATATCTGAGGAACAAGAAGTCAAATGAACCCAATAATTGCTGTGAATCACTTTATAATAGGTACAAATAAGCCTGCCAAATTTCATTCAAATCAGAGAAGATCACCTTTTAACACCGTGTTGATTTGACACGGAATGACCCATATTGGGAAGTGTTTTTGTCCCAAAACAAATGAATACAATCTTTTGAAGCATCATCCATAGTTTATTTCCCATTTAGTGGACATGTGACAGTACTGCCTGTGTTTTTCTGCATTATTTTCTTTTATGTTTTATTTTTTTTAAATGTTGGTTTTCAGTTTGAGTTAAAATTGCATATGAATTGAGCGCTGATATGATAGATACCCATGCCAAGGATTATGTCTTCATAGTTGCCATGCACTTCACAAACCCTTTTTACAGTTGGCAGATTATCTCAGGAACTGGGAGCATCCGAGGTTCCACATCAGACTCCAGTTCTGTTCACTCTCGCAACTCAGCATGTGGAGTGTGAGTACTCTTTTGCATTTTAGCTGATGATTACTTCTCTGCATGTCAGAAGTTTGAATGTACTAACCATATGGTATTTTTATGAATGCAGATGTAGTGAAGGGCAAGAATCTATTGAGTCCTGTTCTACATTGGTTGGAGATAATTCAAATTCTGCATCAATATCAGAACATCTCTTCAAGTCTGTGTCATCTCACCATCATTATTTTGTAGTTTATCTGCTGAAATTTCTTCTAGAATTATTGCTAAGAATGTTCTGCTTATTTTCCAGGAGACAAGAGTGTCTAAATGCAGTAAGGAGTACTTTCTATCAACTATATTGCTCTTCAGTTGGTTTCACATTCCGCAATGGTCCTCCAGAACCAGCTGGATTTGGAACATTGTTAGAGAATTTTGCTGAACGTGTGGGATTCCGTGCAGCACCAAGGACATGCCCTCCATGATGGGAAAAAGGAGAGAGAGAACAGTTTCTTCTTCACCCTAGTCAATGCTCAGCTGGGTTCATGCAATGAATAAACTCTTGTGTCCACTGGGTTCTTCTGGTCTTTCCAATCCTCATCCATCCTTGTGAAGTGGAAGGAAGCATTTAGTTACCATCCCCACTTTTTTGTCCCTTACCAACTTGTCACTCATACCCCCTCTGGCACGTTTATGTGTCTTGTTGGTGCTTCCAAGAAGAAAGAAAAGTTGTAGTTGAATTTCATACAACCCAGTCATACATGTTATATGATGAACCCATTGATGATGTCATCATATCATTATATCCCCCTCCTGAGCTTATTCTGCTGCATGGGTGTGTTCACATGTTTTCAAGTTTTTGTTTTTAAGTAATATTGTGATTACATTGTATTCATGGTTCATTGCAAGATCCCACTAAGCATTTAATCTTTTTTATGTATTTACCACAATGCATACTTTGCATAGATGCAACCTCAGTGGGAACTAGTTTCTTGATGCCTGAGAATAATGCCCAAACTGACTTATTTTGGTTTACCAGGGTTATGATACCTCTGATTAAGTCTTTTTTTTTTTTGGTAAAGAGATATTCTAGATTTAAATTTTACTCATAAGAACTGTTCATATCCATGTGGATTTTCGGATTAAGTTGGGGGATTATTTTGTTACTTTTATAAAGTACCTTCATTTCATGTAGACCCATTGACATGGGTTGGTATCCCTCAAAAGTTGGATGTTTTTCCTTTTTAGGGGTGCATGGAACTAGGCTGTTTAAAACCTGGTGCATGCTCCCCTTTGATTTTCTTCATAGGCTCTTCTGATTGGTAAAGCCGCTGATTTTTTTTCTCTTCTGGTCACTACTCTACTCAGCCAATATTTTCTAATAACAATCTTCCATTGTTTCCAGAGAACAGGTATTAACCCTTTGTGATCCACTGTTGGATATGGTCTGACAATCTACATAACGTTACAAATAAAGGGATCACAAAGGGTTAAACCTTTTTGAGGGTAAATGTATGCTTTGGTGTTGTGCTTACAACACGAGGGTCACATAAGGAGCTAGGCTGAAAAGTGCCTTGGTATAATAAGTTGCATGAAAAATGCCAACTCTATTGAAATAAAAGTTGAGAGGGGAATATGACTCAAGAAATCAAGGTCATGAACCTTAACAAAATATGGTGCTCATTTTAGCTCAGAAAGCTCATATGCCCACTCCTTTCACCCACAATTGTCCATCTTTGACTTACTATATTGTGGCCATTCAGTATAAAAGAGGTATCCTCCATAATCCAGCATCCCAAACATGTACTGAAAAATTATACCAAGCAGTATATATTCAAGTTCATTATTGTCAAATTTTTTTTGCTTCTGTTGTGTTCAGATCAGCAAAAAATCCTCACAAGACATTGTCATACCATGGATTTAGTTGCTGATTTGAGTAAATCTGATTGGAAAAGAGCATGTGAAAGATGGTGCATAGCATTTCAAGGATACTGTAAAATAGTGCAGTCAGCCACGTTGTGACATTCTTGCCAAAGAAGAATTGATAAAACTAGGTGATAAGCTTTACTTCATGAGAAAGAAGAATTCTCTCAAACTGTTCTCTGGAAGCATCATTTCATTGGGGAGTGCTTGTTTCTATCTGTGTGTGTGAAAATTAAAGGAGATGAAATATTTAAACTGAGTATCATTTTATGTTTATGGGACAAGCATGATACCTATTCAGGAAGTAAAAGAAAAAGTTATCCTGAATGAAAAGTATAGTAATCTTCAAGAAATTATTTCATTCTTGCTAACATTGGCATTTTTGCAAAGAGAATATTTTGCCCAGCAAATATTATCTTTGTAATCCAGGAACATAGAGCAAAAACTGAAGTCTCCTGGTCAACTTCCCTGGACATACTGTCACAATCTTGATATGTCTTGGCATAGCATCGTCACATGCCTGTCATGGGAAGTTATTTTGCTGTGCTATTCCCTTTTCTTATGCATTTTATATTTTACCCGATCCCCGCTGATAAAGCATTCTATGCTGTCTCGAATCTTCTTCCCATCAGATGCTTCTATTTAGTGCTAGCAATTAAATTATGTTTATGAATCGATTAGTTGACTAATGTTTCAATAGCGATTTTAAAAAATTAATCACGGTTTATCAAATGTGAATAGATTCCCTACGATATACCGAATGGTCTAGTCAAAACCGTGAATCATGCTGAGAAGTGTGAGCTCGATATGACCTACGTGGCCGAAAAGCCCAATATTCCTGCCACATGATCGTGAAATGTTTTCAAAATCAGCTGGTTCGGCTGCTATAGAGTTTCAATGACGCGCGCTCATGACAGCGCTTTGGACTAACCGAGAAGCAGAAGTCTGAATGGGAGCAGGTGGCTGAACGCTCTCTAAGCGACTACCCTCAGGCCGAACTGCGTTTTTTTTTCGTCGTAGAGTATAGCATTAGTGAAGTTCAGTCTCAGACTGTTATAAAATAGTTTTTATGGCAAAAGATAGAGCAGCGGTTAATGTCCGATGGGAAGGAAAGGGCTGGGGAGCCAGGGTGAGTCGGACTTCAGGAGTCCCACTGGAAGTACGATGCCATTGCAACTCTACAACGACTGAACCTGTTCCTTTTTTTTTAAGAGCTAAATTTCGTGGAACATGTAATAGGAATAAAGGGTTTTTTGGTTGTGTTGGACAAAATGAGTTAAATTTATCTTTCCGCGTTATTGAGAGGAGTGAAAATGTGCGGTTTTGATTGGGTACCCGGTAGAACGGTCTCCTTCGAACCCTAGTCACGTATCATTCTGTCACCGCATTTTCGTGAGTGTTTCTCAAGTTGACTCATTGTAAAGCCTCTTTGTTGTCCGATGTCAACGTCAGTGCACCTTTATCATTTTACAGCCTCATGCTAAACAACTTCCTCTAGAACGTGATGGGCATCACGGTGGTGTGCCATGCCAATTTATAGTCTTGTGATTCGAAACGTCACTGGAAGCCGTGTCCATAACCTTGGACGCGATGCAACGAAGGTTTTACGCCGCTGTTATGTTTCCATGGATATTCGTGAATTTGACGTACCATATAAAGTGGACTTGGGTTTGAAGCGACTCAACTCAAGCAATTTCTGTCAGACGAGGTGAAGAAGTTGGAGCACTTTAGTGAGGCCACGTAAGCTCGTTGAGTCGACTTCGTTGACTACACTTCGAGGAAACATGCGCGATCGAGACCAGCTGACCTACCTATGTGAAAATGGGGAGACATACCCTGACTGAGTACTTGAGCGCGCTTAAATGACCAAGTCGACTTTTTGTGTTGACGTTTTCAAAAACTCTGGGGTGTGGGGTAGGTACAACTTCATTGTAAACGCGTTGTAACTCAATTGGAATGTAGCTGTTAACGAAACCTCTATGGAAACACGGTGATTGGCGGTACCTGTGTGTTAGTAAAAAGCAACGAAACTGACTATCAATTGGGAGGAGTAGGGTGATATGGCAGCATCTGCAATGCTCTCCTTTAATTTAAAATGAAATGTCATCTTGTTGATTGAATGTCGCGGCTGTCATTGGTTGGTGGAATTTCGCCGGATGAAATTCCGTCAACCAGATTATTTTTAGACTTTGTTTCCTTGTCTAATGTGGTGAGGGAATTAGGGCTATTAGTGTTCGAACAATCAATCAAGCAGTCCACGATTATTCGGATTAAAATGTTTGCACGTTTAGTATCCCATCTGTCATTGTAAGAGAAATGAAGCTTGGGGGGTCCATGTTGATTTGTTATCTTATCACGCCTGACGGAGGACCGATGACACGTAATTGGCCAATTTTCTCTTTCTTTCCTTGCCTTGAATCTTCTGAGATGTCTGCATTCCAGAGTGGACAAAGAAAGACGAAGTATGTTTGCGGTCAGGCGATAAGTTAGTGCACGTGGGTTTCCCTCGCATGGCAGCCTGTGCATGAATCGCGAATCCTCCTGCTTCATCATTTCAAGGACACGACATCATTTTTCCGTCGTGTTCTCGGTTACATGGACCCTGATTTCATTGGAAAAGAAAATCGGACTCGTAGAGTGAGGGTACAATAATGCCTTTCTTGAGTATCACCAGAGGTGGGACATTGACTGGATTCGGTATTCAGACGCGGGGAGAATAGTGAATGGAATCCTGGATGTAACACGAACAAGACGAAGGGACTTCGAAGAGTTCCACTTGGGGCTTTCCAGTTAGGTAACGACCTCGGCGGCGATGAAAATGTGGACCGTGATGAGGAGGGGGATCCATTGGGAGGCACAACAGCTTGACGTAGGAATACCTCTGGATGCACGTGGATTGATAGCAAGACGGTAGGTATTCGCATTTCTTCCCTTCGTATCTGAGAAGAGACGGGGATGAAGAGAAATGGGAGCAACGGGTCATACGAGATCATGCTCGGAGGTGGCCGACGTCAAGCTGGTGTGCCTTTAAGCTATCGAGTGCGTTCGCGAATTACGCCAGCCACCGCAAGCCCAGAGAGGGAACTTTGCGGTGATGTCATTAAGACGTTCGACGTGACGAATGGGGGAAAGCAACCATTCCTGCTTTGGCTGACGGTGGCTGGGATCCCGATCACAGTTGTGACGTCATCGATGACGTCACACGTTTCAGATACTTGAATTGTGAACGCACCCCATGCATCAAAGCATGACCATCCCATTCAGTGATGGGGACGGTTTGGGGCAGGGAAGAGGGAGGTGTCGTGGACAAAACAGGAGCAGTCAGAAGGGACCCTGAATACGTCTAATGCTGGTCTCTCGGACGGATCGTATGGATTCAGGCACATCAGCTTGACGTAGGTGTACCTCTGCCGACATGATGACACGAAGCAGGGCGGAATGTAATCGCATCTACTCTCCGGATACCTGCTCACGAGGTACAGGGCGAAACCCCAAACTGCAATACTTCTCGATTATAAGATGAAAAAGAGGCCGAGCGAAACTCACTTGCAGGTTTCGATCCGAATACTTTGGGGGAATCGATCCGTGTTGAGGACGGCGACCCAGTTCCCTCTGAAATTTCTCGCCCAACCCGGTCGAATATAACTCACCTCACTTTCGCAAATGAAATGACCTCCGTGCCTTAAGGGAAAAGAACGAGTTTTTCTTCCCCTTTGCATCTGCGTATTGAGTGAAGAGAAAGCGCACACGCTATTGCTGACCTGTAGGCGTGAGTGTAGTTGTCGTGCTTCAAAAAATCATCGTATGTATAATGATGAATCTGGTGATACATGTCTTCCACTTCGTTTCCGTATATGGACAGCGTCTCCATGACGTGGTCACTGTTGGGAAATTTGCCAAAAGTCACCTCCAATCGCCGTGCGGATAAGAATCCATGGTAAACGGTAAGTGCGCGTGGAATGAAACTCACTATGGGTATTCTTGATCGTAGAGGCAATACGGTGAACCATCCTTGGCGCAAGGAGGCTGCGGGTTCAACGGTGGTAAGGGGGCTTTGGGTATCCCATATCCTTGTCCTGATCCGTGGCCAGATCCGTGGCCATGGCCATGGCCAGAAGGAAACAAATGATTCGGAGGGGTTCGAAACGGATGGGGGATTTCGACTGGGTGGAATGCACCGCCCGGTTTGGATCCGTATCGACGATCCAATTGAATATCTCCGTGTCTCAGTGGCAGGGACTCTAAATGGTTGTTCCCCGAATCATTCACTTTTTCCACGTCCGAAGTAGCTACAGGCAAGGAGGAGATAATAGTTGTAGTACACGGGGTATGCGAAAGGTAATGTTGCGTCAGTCAGCCTTCGACCACAGGGCGATCCCGGATCTCCGCTCCTTAAATTGAAGGTTTTCTCTTGTTTCTCTTCCTTCTTTTTTTTCATTATTTCTGTCGCACACGATGCGGTACAACCTCCATTTCCCCCTCCCCCCTCATTTTTTTTTTTGAGAGCGTTAAGATGCCCTCTGACGCGTTAATTTTCCCTAGAACACAATTATCATTTTTACGGTGGCTCTTATTTTCATCCTTGAGAAATTCAGCGAACCATGCTATGTCCTTCTATTTTCTTACTTTACATATATATTTTTTAATGCATCGATCAAGTGTGATTTACAAAAGGGTGAAAATCAGACCGAGGTTCCTGGCGTGTTTCTTGTCCCTCGTGACAAGCACCAATCCTGCATGTGCCCCTGGCAGATCATCGATGAATTTCTCCTGCTTCTCGGGAACTTTCTTGATTGTCTCAATCTCTTCTTGCTTTTTCTGGACTTCATTCGCCTCGACATTCGTGGCGTGTAGGAGGGACGCCGACAGGAGTAGGAAATAAATGAGATCCTGGGAAGCAAATGACCAGAACATGTCATCCCCACCTCCCGAGTCGGCTTTGTTTCGTCAATTTTCTCAGATGGAGGAAAGAAAAGGTGAAAGACCCAGAGGGAGGAGGATTATTATTCTTTCACCTACCCCCCTTCCCCCTCCTGAAAATGATTGTCATTCGTTCCACAAAGCCATTATTCTCCCCCCTCTCCTACATTATCCCAATGAGATTCTATACACATGCAATCTACTATGCGAGTATATTCAAGGGAGGTTTCTCCGTTGTGAGCAAATGGTATTTGAAGAAGTCTTGGGATCACGTTGAGGGCAAAAACCCTGTAATATCATATCGTAGGAAGCAGGGGCGTCATGGAACCACGCCTTGATATTCTTCAGCCGAGTGACCGCCTCACGACCCGTGTTTCCTTCAGTCTTTCTGCTTCCATGATCATCCCTTTTGATATCTCAGCCCTTGGCTTTTTCCCGAACAAACAGTAGAATCAGTCTTAATTGAGCAATGATATGATGTGAAATTGTCTGGAGGGTTAATCACTCCGTCAATCATTTTTCTCTCACTGAGGGGTATGGTCCAGTACGCCACATGTATACCGTAAATCAGGGGTTCTTAACCTTTTTGCACCTACGGACCCCCAGATCCTCCAGACCCAGATCCATGGATCCCCTGGGGGTCCATGGACTCTAGGTTGAGAACCCCTGCCGTAGATGATTGGGGCCTTTTTTCCAACACTGCAGTCATAGCATTCGCTAGGCAGGGTGAAGGATTCCGATTTTCGAACTTTTATATTTGGTATATATTCTAATACCATACGATTCCAAAACTGTTTCCAAGCTGCGGTTTTCAAAACCACAGATTGTTCCACCCTCCCTACCGCGATCCAGGAGACTTCGAGGCACGTTATTGTGTGGATTCCGCGCTCCTCTGAGGTGCCTCATTCTCCACTCCTCCCCGCTTCCCTCCACCTCATGGAGCTGTTATACAAGCACTCATTGTCCATTCTTTTCCCTCGATTCCTGATTGTCTCGTCTGACAATGAGGGTAAATCGCATAGCGTCCGAATTCTGGAAGCGAGACTCCTTTCGGGTGTTGTGCAATTTGCCCTCACAGGATAAACCAGATGAAGAAGGCGCAGATGAATATTTATTTATTAAGGATCTTAACAAGGATTAAATGAGGATTTCCTTATGTCATCTTCCGATTGGCCTCATTGAGTTTAAGTTAGAGCAAGATGCTTAACTGCGGTAGGCTTATACAATGAAATTCTCACCATCTGGATCTCAACTTTAAGATATTGAATGAGTAAATCAGTATTCTAGAAGATCTGTCTGAGCAGGAAAATTGAATACCGAATTGGTATGATTCCTCCTAAGGCCCCCTTTAGATATTCCACTTGTGATAACAAATCAGTCTGGCTATAGCTACTCTGAGAGTTATGGCCTTTTCTTATGGCCGATCGGATGCGATATTAGAGACTATCGTGCATACGCCTCTGAAGGGTTTGGATAGTGGGGGAGGGGGGGAAGGGGCCAATGACTCTGAACCCTCGCTGGAAGAGGGGAGTTCCGCGAATGCGCCTGCTGAAACTACATTCGCTAATCAAAGGGACGCATTTAACTGGAAACGAAAAAAGACATTGCCCCCACAGCTAGGAAGTCTGAAGGATTTGGCCTCACTTCCCCTCCCCCCGCTTCTTGCGACCTTGCTAACGTATGTATATCCGTACAAACTCTTAGGCAGGAATAGTTTGTCTATCCCGATCTCAAATACGAGCACATCATCAGTGTTGTGGAACTGGAGAAATCAGTTGGAGCGATTCCATTCTAATTCCACCAGCCCAAATATTATACTTCTTTTCTATCTCATGCATCTGCCATATTTAATGAATTTAATGATAGTGTCGTTCGGGTTACTCGAGAGAAACAGACATTCTGTCAGAGGAGCTAGCGTAACTTGGTTTTACGGCTAGTGTCGTGTCTTCAACAAATGGCAGCCTATTTCATTACGGAAAAATTTTCAACGAAGTATGGCTTGGAGTTGGAACTAGTAAGGTTTTTATGGACAATTTCAATTGAAAGGCTGAAAGGAAAAGGACAAAAAAAATCTCCAAGAAGCTGATAGTTTGCAATTGCACTTGGTTCCTTTTCCCTTTCATCGAAGAATGAAGAAGTAGGTTGAAGTTGTTTGTAGGATTTATTTAAGGGGAGAGCTTGTCCATCTACGTGTGGCCCATATACCAATTTTCCTCGCCTTTGAGAAGGTCGTTAGAAAATTCACTCTTTGCTTCTGGAGTTTAAAAGACGAATTTTTGAAGGTAGACCAGTTTTCCTTTCACCCCTTCAATACCATTCAACTTCTGCACTTAATGCGTCAACTTCAGTTTCAATCCCTGAGAAGCACAGAATCATTCCAATACCACAATACAGATTATTTATTGTTCATCATTTATAATATGCTTCGAACGAGTCACTTGAAACCTAGCAGGTCGTTGTTATTACTGTTGATATTTCTTGAGCAGCTTATGTCGAAGTGACCATGAACAGCTCATAAGCAGCAATATGAAAGTTAGTAATGAAAGTAAGCTTGAACGGGTAGGAACAGCGCTCCCGTACTTAATTCTGTTTGGAAACGGCGTTCCCACGAGGGAGAGTGGAGCATCACTCTCCTATTTTTTGCAAACAAAATCCGTTGCCGAAACGGGCTTTTTCAATGCACCATGCGCACGGCTTCATTCTAGCTAGCGACTTGGCCTGTCACAAATGGAACGATGATCATGGTGACGAAGAAGTGACAAGACGAAGTATCAAATTTGCACAATTTTGCTCATTTGTCTTGTTACTTTCTGAAGTCACCAAGGCCATCCTAGACAATGAAAGGTAAAGTGGTAATCCAAGTCCTTTGTCAGGAAGAAAGCTATGGGGTAAAGAAAATGATTCAAGAGTTCCCAAATTGTGGATGAAACGTACGAATCCTTTTCAATTTGAGTTTCAATTCCGGTGCTAAGTTTTGTGTTATCCTAAGGTTTGATAATAAAAAAATTACCTAAAAATTATCTTCGGAAACATTTTTTTGTTGGACCTTCTGTTTTTTTTTTTTGCTACTCGTTTTTGCTTACCCAGAGTTTGTAACTGGGAAGGAGAAACCTTGCTCTGCTTTTCCGAGACATCGACTGATTTCTGATAATGAGATTGATTTTGATTAAATGCATTAAATGGAACAAGGAAGAACTGCATTAAATTGATTTTCATATAAAGTTGTTGCGTTTATTAATCTGGAAATAGCAGGCATTTAAAATAGATTTTAAAATTTTGGGGCCACCCTGTAAATATGGACTTTCATGACTGCTTGCATGGAAGTTAATAACGGACTATACCACAAAAAGTAACAATTGACTGCGGAGATGCAAAGACGCAAAAATTTGGAAGGTTTCTTGAACTCGATTCATTAGTTCCATCTAGATTGTTCATAATTACACTCCCCGAGGAGGAAGGGGGAAGAGTAATGACTCAGATTGAAAACACGAGAATTTTCCTTTGGAAGCCTACGGGGAAAAGAAAGCCCCGTTTTTGAGAAAATCCAATTCTTTCGTTGCGATAGTAGACCTCAATGCGAGAATACAATGAGAATGAGAATTCTTCATTGCACCATTTTTTTTCAAACATTATTTTGGTGGTGATCCTTACTCTTTAATTACAGTGTAAAAAAAAGTTATGTGCAGTGATTGTGTATTAGTTGTACAGTAGAAGTGCCAAGAAGAAAGGGAAGGGGAGAATTCTTACCATATCGAGTGAGAGGAAGGGAGAGTGTGAAGTTCACTCCTCGTAGAATAGCAAAGGAAGGACTGAGGGACCTGAGAGGACGCTCTCCCTCATACCGCAGCGACCATTCGCCTCGGGGCACCCTCCCCCCTCCTCTTCTCCTTCATGCATCCCTCTTTTTCGTTCCCACGCGTCAACTTGTAATACGCTGCGCTGTTTTCCAGAGTGCAGTTTTATTTCTAGTAAATGCTCATGGAATTACTATTACAAGCCAAAATATATTTATACTGTAGTAATATGTGCTACATCGGGTGGCGCAAAAAAAGCGTCCTGTTTGGTGCTTTATAAAACCCGCTGTGGATCATCTAGGTTCTTTTTTTTTGGTATCACATTGGAAACCCTACAAAATTTGTTTCCTGAAAGTTTCATATGTCTAGGTTTCCTGAATAAAATGCGAGTCATTCAAAGTAGTCATAAAATGTACATTTCCATGCATGAGGTGGATGGAGTTTCAGCACTGCTCATATTATTTCTTTTCATAGACTCCATAAAGGCTGCTTTTATATCATGTCCGCGTCGTAGTATTCTGGGTAGTATCGATTCTAATGCCACGACGCGCGACAAAAGTACTATATTACGACGTAGAATACTACGACGAGGAAATGGCACAAAACGAAACGGTACATTTTATGACTCCGCTTTGAATGACTGTCACTTTACATTCTGGCAACCTAGACACATGAAACTTTCGGGAAACGAATGTTATAGTGTTTCCAATGTGATACAAAAAAAAATCAGGAACCTACATGATCCACAGCGGGTTTTATAATGCACCAAACAGGATGCGGTTTTTTGCGCCACCCGGTCTGATCTGACCTTCCTGCATTTAATTTTCTCTGAGAACCCCCTGCCAGCTTTCCCTTTCGCCGTTATGGTTCCATTCCAGATAACTTCAACGGAAGAAGTGCTATTCTGTCCCTCCATTACTGCATAATTACCTTCAGATCTGATGGGAGTGGAAATCGCAGGCATTCACCATATCCCCCTCCTCTCCCTCTACCTTTCTTTTTTCCGCGTCAATTTTCTCTCCCTCCTCTTTCTTACTCCCC